CATGTCCAGCGGCCGCGGTCGGATGAACCCTCCTCAGTCCATGCTTCTGGGCTCAGTTCAGGAGGCGCAGATGAATTACCCTCCAGCACCCGCTCAGAGCTTCCTTGATGATGATGAAATCGATAACGGCCTTGACAATTATGAAGATGAGGACTACGATGATGGATTTGACGAGAACACGCTCTGGGAGATTGCCAGCTTGCTGGAAAGCGATCTGGACGGCTCCCGTGACGATCTCTTCATGGTTGGCGAGGAGGAGTATTGGGAGGATCAAGTGTCTGTCACTGACGACATTCCCTCTGCTACATCTCCAGTTGAAGAAGCTTCTGAGAGTGTAAAGGAGGAAGCGTATGATTTCATTCCTGTTACTCTAGCTTCTGAAAACTCCCCTGACGTTTCTCAAGTGCCTACTCTCTGGACAGGCGACATGGAGGGTCAGACAACAAAATTCTTGGGCTTACCGCAGCCCAGTGAGGGAGCATGGGAGTACTTTACCGCTGCTCCTAGGTCCGCACGTACGATTCCTCGGACGATGGAGGAGCATGCTCAGCTGTCAAGCAGCTCGTTGTGGATGGCTGCTTCAGCTGGTATTTCTTACACAAGTGGTCTGTGGGCTTCACTCACGTCTCATCGTGAGGAAGAAAAGGAGATCGAGTCTTCCAAAGTCTCTCTGACTGCCGTCAAGTCTCTGGTCTGGTCACCCCCGAGCCCTGGAGAAGTCTCTGGCCTTGGCCTGCCCCAGCCTGATATCAGACTCTGGAACGCTTATATTCCCCAAGAGACACGCAGCGTCCGCAAGACAACTCAGATGTCCCGGCCCGCGAGAATTACATCAAAATCGCTATGGGCATCGAAGCCCACTGTGAAGCCTAGCATGTCGAATGGAGTATGGTCTCCAGTGAACAAAAGCGAGGCCAAGCTCCTAACAGTTGCTGTTGCTGCGCTGTGGCTGCCGCTCTCTTTCGCCAATGGCACCACGGTGGGACTTCCACAGCCAGATGCCAGTGTATGGAACTCTTACATCACACCAGCAGCCCGCACTGTTTACAGAGCATCTCGGATGCCTCAGCCTGCAGTTGTTGCCTCAACATCTCTGTGGAAATCCAAGTCTATCATCAGGCCCAGTGCATCAACTGGTGTATGGAGCCCTGCACCCAAGGAGACTACGGTGGAGGTAACGAGCCTTGCCACCTTTGCTACCGTTCCCTCATTGTGGTCGCCGATTTCTGCCACTCGCAATGGTGTATTGGGACTTCCACAGCCAGACATCCAGGCGTGGAATGCATACATTCAACCAGGAAGCTGTATCGCTCGCCGAACCTCTCGGAAGGAGCAGCAGTTTAAGACTGAAAGCACTGTGATGTGGTCTGCTGAGCCCCTGAGGACTATTGAGTTGGTCTCTACAAAACTGTGGAGTTTGAAGAAGAAGACTTTGCTTTGGGCGCCCACTCCTTTCAAAGGTGCCAGCATTGGTCTCCCGCAGCCTGATGTCAAGACTTGGAATACTTACATTGTTCTGCCAGCTCGTTCGGTTCGCCACAAGGCGAATGGTTTCAAATACGAGACCATCAAGAGCACCTCATTGTGGCAGCCCTCACCAGCTGCTGCTCCTTACTCAGGAGGTGTATGGAAGGCAAAATCACTACTCGTCGAGCCAACTCGTGAATCTCGATCCGACTCCTCTTTGAAGATGGTAAAGGATCTTATGTGGTCTGCACCATCTACAAAGACGCCTTCCGTCGGTCTCCCGCAGCCGGATGCCATGACCTGGAGCATGTATCTCCTCCCAGCAAGCCGTAGCCATCGAAGCGCTTATGTGCCCAGGCCTATCATGATCACTAGCACATCTCTGTGGGCACCTGCATTGTCCATCGAGTCTCCTTCCGGTGGAGTGTGGAAGCCAAAGTCATTGCCCTCCAAGAGTCAAGTAGCAAAGCCATCTCAGGTGCCTCACATTGAACCTGCCGTAGCGGTGGTCAGGGATTTGTTATGGTCTTCATCGCCTGCAAAGATGATTTCTTTGGGCTTGCCACAGCCAGATGCCAAGTTTTGGACTGCTTACCTCGTTCCAGCTGGCCGTAGCCATCGAAGTGCGTATGTTCCTAGAGTTATTACCATTTCAAGCACATCCTTGTGGTCGCCCACGTCCAACGTTGAGACTCAATCGGATGGCGTATGGAAGGCTAAGTCAAAGGTGTCAGCTACTCAAGAGATCAAGGCAGCTCAGAAGTCCGTCAGGGCTAACAGTAGCTCGCTGTGGACTCTTCCCCTCGCCAAAAAGGCTTCAATCGGCCTACCTCAGCCAGACTCCAAGGCATGGGAATCATACATTCCGCCAATGACCCGCTCTACCTCCCGCAGAGTCTTGACTTCAGAGCCTGCTTCAATCGAAAGCCAATCGCTCTGGTCTCTCCCGCCTAACAAGGAGGCCGCTTCTGGCTATCTTTGGCGCCCGAGCAAGACGCAAGCTGAAAAGAAGCGCCCAACCGTTCAAACTGCGTTCGCAATTCGCTCAGAGGCAACGCCCAGCCCGGCCGTATCCTCGGCCGCAGCCGAGAGCCCTGTCCCAGCCATTGCCGCACGTGCAGCCGGTGTCCGTACTTCCACGCCTGTCCTAATGACGCAAGAACAGTGGAAGTTGGCATTCAAGAGAATCTCTCAGGACGTGCAAAAGGACTCCGCGGCGGCAGCAGCTCCGTCGTCGTCGAATCATGCCTCCAGGCCTCGTCCCACTAGGTTGAATCGCTCACAATCTGTCAAGAGCCGCCCAGTCTTCGATCCCTCCGTCATGGCACTCATCTCCGAGCTGCCTTCCCCCCGCCACCAGGGCCTCGGGCGATCAAAGAGCATCTCCTTCTTGCCGCCCAGCCGCAAGTAGGCTTCTTCTTTCTTCTTCTCACGGCCCTTCGGCCAGCGCTTCCTAATGCGGAGCCCTTCTCAGCCAGCCACGTCCTCGATGATCTAAGCTTCCTTTGGAATTCCTCCCGCATCCCACAACCATCTGATTGTGGCGGCAAGGGAGCCCTTGATAGCGACAAGCCGCGCTGACGTGCATTTCGTCTTGATTTGGAGAAGAGCTATCCTTCTACCCCGGTCATTGATGAACCATGCTGGGCTGGAGGATTGATCAGCGTCGTTGGATATTACATTCTCCACTGGGTTTCAGGGCTGAACAGGGGAGAGCAATTAGATGCGGGAATTTGGGCCNGGGGGGGGGGGGGGGGGGGGGGGGGGGGGGGAGGGGGAGATCCAGACCTAATACGGTGTTATCAATCGAGATGAAAAAGAGCAGGGTTTCTGATATGGGGGGAAAACAAAATAGGACAATGCTACTCTTATGAGTAGGTAAAAGTGTGTAGTCTAAGTTGTGGTAAGGAGGGGAGATACCCTTTTTGTTGGATGGATGATATGAGTAGGAGTTTTTTTTTTTTTCTTTTATGTAGTTGTTGTGATGGAGATTGGAGGATGGTAATGTGGTGGAAGCAGTTGGTACAAAGTATATATTTCAGTAACAATCAATACAACCCAGGTATCAGCATCTATCAGTATCCTAACCCACCAAACCCATACCCCTTATCGTAGCCACGAATCCTGTAAGAGAAGAAAAGGTCCAGTCCGGTGTAAAAGAAATCCAGTCCAGTGTAAAGAGAAAAGGTTCAAAAGTATATACTAGAAGTCAAGCAAGAAAAAACCACATCAAACACAAATCGAACAATTCACTCGCTCAATCACAAACAAACAAACAATCACCCTTCACACAAAAAATCAGCAAGGAAGCAAAACATTTCATGCACCAAGTCATTGTTCATGTCATGGCCATTCAGAGCTCTCTATCCATGCGCACCTCGTTAAGCTAAAAAGAACCTTTCAAAAAAGGCGGGGAGAAGAGAAGAATCGCGGAATGGGATAATAAGAAAAGATAACCACCAGATACGCGCGAGGTGTATTTGCGCCGATGCTTACAGAAAAAATGTTTCAAACACCAGACCCAATGCTTTCGTTTGCCGACCACTGTGTATATCCTGTTGTATTTCCGATCCGACAAGTCCCTCCCCCTTCCTTTTGATTTGTTTTTTCTTTAGTGTTACCACTTTAAGCTTGTTTCGCCTTTTGCTTTGTGTTTTTTTGGTCGTTGAACTTTTTTTTATGCTTTTGATTAGCCGTCGAGGGCATGTTTTCCTCTTGCTTCGCGAGCAAAGGTGCTGATGATGATGCCATCGTTGTCATTAATGGGGATGAGCTTCTGTATCGGCTTGCTCTATCCCTTCTGTGTGTCGGAGCTCATTGATTAGACTCGTTAATAGTTCGATTTTTGTTGTTTTTGGCATAAGGGGTATAAGAGGAGATGAGAAAAGAGATAGCAGCCTTTTGAGCCACCCCTACCCCTTCTCTCACCCTCTCTACCCACAAGTTCATTATTTTCTCGTAGCTCGTCGGCCTGTCAAATGAGACATGGCCAACAACTCATACAAAAAAGGTCATGAAAGACAAAGGAAAACCACTTCACATCTCCTTGACACCTTTAAGAAGCTGTCACATTGCCCTACTTGCTGTTAAAAAAACAGGTGGGCTATATGTCACTGTGTCCTAACCGGACTAATATTATACGCAATGAATTATCGTGGATCTCCTTTCAAGAGGAATCGCAGATCGGATGCGTATGAAATAGGGAAGCGTGAGCAGGATGCGATCGGACTGCCTTGTCATTGCTGTGAATTTCTGGCGGAGCAGGACTATGCAGCAAAACCAAAGACGTTTGGCAGGCTTCGTCGATCGCACTGATCTAAGTTGAGAAGGGGGTTCATCGAATTGGTAAGCGTGTTAGGCATTATCATGGAGCATTAATCGAATAAATGGTAACCCGAAACCGTCGCTATGCAAATAGAACAAACACGGAAGATCATTTTGCTGTACAGAAAATTCCATCAGGCAGCAAAGATGGAAGAAAAGAGTTGGATGCGATGCAGACCATGAACCATCTGCACCAGAACAGTAATAGACTAGCTGGCAATCACTGTCTGTATGCGTCTGTTCATCGGTGAAGATGAGGATGAGTTGTCTGGTGACGATGAATCCAGCAAGGTAGAGAGGTTGCCACGATGTCGGATGGTGCGACGAGACTGGCTTGAGCCAGGTTCATCAAACATTTTCGTGAAAGCGGGACTTGAATCGGGTTGACGTTCGCGTTTTGGAGTTCCGGCAGGGCTCTGCGTTATTTGCTCAGCCCGACGTACAACATCTGACAAGGAATCACGAAGCTCTCCGGCTCTCTTCACCAAGACTCTCAGGCTGTTTGTGTCGAAATGCATCTTGGTATCCGAATGAGGTTGTGATTCCTGGTTGGGGGTAGAGCGATGCATTGCCTCCATGACCGACCGAGCGCCGTTGGCAGCTTCTTGCTGTTTATCGGCTCGCAATTCGGGTGTCCGAGTGCGACTAGGGCGTTCTGAAGGCAGGTTATCGTCCACTAATGGCCAATTTCCACCAAAGATGTCGTCGTCGGGGGAAAAGACAGATCGTCGTTTCGGGGATTGACGCTCACGGACCACAGCCGTCTTTGACATAGGCTCCTTGATATCCCAAGCCATGTCCAGCTTGGTGAATGAGAGATCAGCGAAAATATCTTCTTCATCATCAGAGAACCCATCATTGTTGTCGAATTCATCCATCGTATCAGTAGAATCGCCATCAATTTCTCCGTCTACCGACTCCTCCTCATCAGGCGAGGCTAGTGCAATGACGCCCTCAGCCTCCTTCCACAAAGTCTTTTGCGGGCCATCGAGCATGTCCATATCGCGCCCATGGCGGCACAGTCGCTTGAGGTCGTTGACGAGTAAAGAAAGTTCGCGGATTTGTCCTGAATGCGCCTTCACACTGGGCTGCGAAGCCTGGATAGATTCGGGTACCGAGAACAGCTTGCCGTCGGCTGTGCCATCGTTCTCATTGGCGTTACCACCAAACTCGAAATCCTCGTCCCAATCCTCAGAGACTCCTTTTGAGCCCAGCCCCCAGGTGCCGTACTTGGCACCGTTGGAAGGTTTAGCCTCGTCTATGGCGTGCGAGAGAGGCACACTTTGGCTTCGAATGTGTGCCGGGACAGGGTTGCGAATAACGGAACGTCCGCCCCTGGCGTCGAGCTCCTGCTTTTCGTAAGACGTCTTGGGGCGCAAGGGAACACCGCCCACGTTGCTCTTTTCGTGAAAAGAAGTCTCACTCCAGTCAAACAAGTTGGTCAAGCGCCTGTCATCCGGATCCATATCGGACATGTGGTCGAGGCTCAGATTCGCTAGCGCAACTCTGACATTGGGGTTAATGTGTCGAGAGTCGAGCGAGCTGCCTTTGGAAGGGGGAGAGAGTGGATTGAAATGGGCATCGTCGTCATCGCCCCAATCTTCGTCAAAGTCGTCGTCGAGCGAAATGCGACCAAAGTCTTTGGCATAGAGCGAGACGCCGTTCTGCGACGATTCTGAGCTGATGCGAGGCAGGGTGGTGAAGACGTGGCGGCTAGAATATCTTGCCCTGGCACCGACAGGTTCGACCCCTGTGGGCATCACTGTATTTTCGTCCTCCTCCATGATGTCTGTGTCACCGCCCCAGGTGTGACCCAAGATTTCCTGTATTGAGAGGCGCTTGGTCCTACCATTATTTCCTGCAGTGCTCGGGGGAGAGTCGTCATAAATAGAGTCCAAGGGTGTCTCGACGGCCCTTGTGCGACTGGAAGCTGCCGTGCGCAGCGAATCAAACACAGTATCACTCCTGTAGTCGGCGTCGTCCTCATCCCCTGACGTGAAGCCGCGGGCGTCGCTCTCAAAGCTTTCGGCGACGGCGAAGCCCTCGTGCAATGGCGACGCTCTTAGCTGCGACATGGCTGCGGAGCTTGTCGAGCTCCCCGAGGGCTGGTGCTGCCGTGCTGGGTGAGAGGCCGCCCCGCCAGGCGATCCTAAGCGTGGGACTTCGATTTGAAAACTCGAGTTTCTAGGAGCGGGGAGAAGTGGGGAGGAATGGCTTCTTTTATGCATTGTTAGCTGAACTTTGGCTGCTGAATCCAGCGTCGGCCCCTGCCGTGCTAAAGAGTTGGGTGGGATGGGCGAATGCGCCGGCGCTTTAGAGTCGAGCTCCACGGCGATTTGCGCGCCGCTATTACTGGGGGCTGACACGTGCCGCCTGTCGCTCACACCATCAGGCTCAGCCCCCCGTTTCGGTCGTCGAAGGCTTCCCGACGTTCTCGAGATCCAATTGCCGACTGGGGGGAAGGGCATAGACAGAGGTCGCGCCGCTTTGCCGGTGGGCGTGCTCTCGGGGGAAATTGAGCGATCGTCCACGTGAACATCTGTCTCATCTCGGACCTGGCTGAGTTCCTGTCGTCGCTCCATGGGTAACGGCGCAATTGAAGGCACTGACGTAGCTGATACCAGCTTGGGCTTGACGAGATGTACCTTTTGACGATCTTGACCCCCAACGGCAATGCGCTTCCCGGACAGGCTCTGTCCACGGACGGAACCCTCTCCCAGACGGCTCGCTAGGTTACCACCACTGCCTGTATTCTTTGTGCGCGAATGAAAGAAGGATACCCAGCTGATCTTTTTTGGACTTTGGGGTTGCACAGGCGCCAGAAGATGTTCTTGCAGTGACGCTGATTGGTCGAAGGAAAATGCTGGCGACGGCAGACTCGATAAATCTGCACTCTGGCGGAAATGGTGAAGCGTGGCAGACCTCTGGTGGCTCGTTGCAGGCCGGCGCAGGATAGATAGATGCGATTTGGCTCTTGCACGTGTTGGCGTAGGAATGTCTCCGGCCTGGTCTGATGGAGAGCGCTTCACAAGCTTGTTGGGCGACAAAGGGTTGGCGGCAGTATTCGGCCTGGATAGAATCGGGGCCGACGAGGTGTACGACTGGGCAATCGAAGGCGAATCTGGCCCAACGCTGGACCTGGACCTCACACTCCCCTGGCGCGATAACGGGCGGCGACGGATCGAGAGCCTTCTAATCCAAGATCCGTTCGACGAGGTGGAATCCCTAGGCCCCTCTGGCGTTGGTGATGCTGAAGCTTCCCGCATCAACGACGACCGTCTGTCAGGGATTGACCTGGGCGATGCAACAGGTTGATGCGACGGCCTCTGGTAGCGAGAGAGCGGAGGGCGAGACACGGTGATGGGGCTGGATACTGCGTTCTGCTGCGGGTACTCGGCCTCTATTGAAGGCGCATCGAACTCGGCTTCGTATCGTAGGGGAGACAAGGCACCAACTGAGGCAGTCACCGGCAGTTCGCGATCAAACGAGATTTCTTTTCTCAGCTGACTCTGTCGCTTCTTCGGGGGAGCTGACTCGACAGGCTGGCCAAATACCAAGCCGCTGGCCGCTGCAGCAATGGCAGTGCCGGTCCCAATGAGCTACAGTAAAAACGTAGTGTTAGATCAGGTCCCAAGCAGCATTTGCAGCAATATCAAGATGTTCAAAAATGCTCATGTTCCCGCACCATTTCCTTCCTGCAGCGTGGAGCGGCGCAATCGCTGCCTTGCCGGACGGTTGGGCTGACCTGCGCCGTTTGAGAGGGCAGCAAATGGAACTTACACTGGGGACCGTCTGCATGGTTACTGGCGAGGCGACCACCCTCGAATTGGACAGACGAGCCGGCAGAGCTGAGCAGAGCTGAGCAGCAGGCGCATCGTCAAGTCAATGGGACAGCTTGGGTGCTGTTTGGAGAGGGCGAGTCTCCCTGGGCCGCAGGAGAAAGTGTCGAGTCGTCGGGGTGTTTTTCCGTTGCAAACGTTGGGTCGGGTTTTTCCCTTGACTGGAACTAGAACTGGAACTGCGACTGGAACTCGAGACGCGTGCCGCCGGAAAAAATAAGGCGGTTGTTTTGGGACTGCGAGCCCACCAGCCCGGGGGGGGGATGCAGAGGGTAGATAACAGACAAGAGGCCAGGGAGAGGGGGAGAAGGGAGAAGGGGGAAACGAAATGAAGAAAGGTGGAAAACGAGAGGAAGGGGACAGGAAATGAGGAAGCTATTTCCTGCCTTACGGTCCCTGCTTTGCGGGCAGTTGAGAGGTGAGGTGAGCGAACGAGCGGGAGGATGGGATTAATGACTGGGGATTGATGGGAAGAGAGAGCATGAGCATGAGCATGGGACAGCCAGCCAGCCCAGTGACACACATTGAATTCGACCAGACTCAACTGTAAACAGGCACAGGCGCCTGTTTGATTGACGCTGCAGTGCTACATGTACCGTCTGGAGACTGCAATCTTAGCGGCTCGATCAATGGGCTAATTACAACAGCGGAGCCCCGGCGCTGATGCTCGGGGCGCTGGAGCTTAGGCTTTTAGGGAGGTACCAGCCCAGACATGTACAAAGTTCAATTCGGTTGGCGCGAAACACGACCGCTGGTGGGCGGCTGAGACCAGCTGGACCCCCGCTGAAACGGGCTGTCGTGGGTACAGGTACGTACCGCCTCCCGTTTTGAACGGGGGCCCCCCCTTGAAGGCTTGAAGGGAAACGATGGCGCTTGTGACAGAGCAACATCCATGGAATTGGCTCACAGCCACTCCGTCCCGTTGCTGATGCTAATCACGACTGTTATCTCCCAATGTGGCAGAACAGCCACTCGGTCTACACCGAGCAAAAACGGAGAACCAATTTCGGAGCCGGGGCATTGAAGAAGCGGCCCCCCAGGGCTGATGTTGTGCTGTCGCTCACTACCAGGTATCTCACTCACATGCACAGACGGTCAGTAATCTGATCCCAGAGCGGGCAGCAGCAACAACAACAACAACAACAACAACAACAACAAATCCTGCAGGCTCCCCAGCCAGCTCCGTAAACAACGAGCCCGGACTAAGTTTTCTTGTTTACTACTGTACTCGCGGGTCTCGTCTTCTGGCCGGGTCGTCTTGGGCACCGGCACATCTCAGCAAGAATGTCGCATCCCGGCTGTGGGGGCGGGTCTAATGTACAGTGCCTGGCTACTTGCATGCCCGGGTACATGATTTGATACGGAGCGTCAAGTTCTGGCCGGAGCTTTTCTGTGTCCATGGATGTAATTTATGATGAGTATATTCATACTCATCCATACTTGTATAAGCTCCAGGGCCGAGCAATGCACCGTCCAGCCTATCCTATCATCCAGCACTATCGCTGTCCACCTCAAACCCACCATCTCCGTACCTACTGTACGCTGGGCCTCATGCTCGGCCTTTGGGCTTCAACACACACAACACACACACGCACTCAGCATCCATTACAAGCCAAGTGATCCAATTCCAATTTCCCCAATGGGTGCATAGAAAAACTCTATCTATATCTGGAAGTGCCACACCGCAGTTTCTGGCTGCCAGCACTGGCCCTTTTAGGCCTCCTGCTGCCGCCGGCTGGCCGCAAACAAAAGTGTAAGTGTGTAGAATTTCGGGGTGCCACCGTTTCTCTGTCAGACCAGAACGCTCAATACGGCCCATCGATCATGTTTGGCTAGGCCAAAACTCTGTTTCCTTGCCTTGACGTGTGTCGCCCTCTGAAATTAGCCCGTGGCAGCTTCAGACATCGACGAGACAATGGCACGGGACCCAGAGTGGAGGCCATGAGTGCTTGTCACGAGTCCTCTTTTTGCGTGTTTTTAAGTTTCGTCACAAATCTTCTTTTCAGGAACGATGCCACCACATTAACCATTAACAATTTAACAAATACAACTACGAGTACTGCCTGAATACAGGTACGTGCACATCAACTTCATTCAAACTTGACCATAGACGTGGCACCAATCAATCATCACAGGTACAGTACAGTACCAGTGCTCTGCTGTCTCACCATCTCTCTCCCCCCTGAACCCACCGCATCGCATTCATCTCAAAATCTTGCATCATTCTCTGTGGATGGCATCACCCAACTCAACTCGACAGATCTCTCTGTGAGACAGCATCTCGCTTCGTGCCTGGCCCTCGCCAACAAACGAGCGGTGGCCACATGCGCTATCGAGGCATGTCCGTGTTGCTGCACGTTGCACGCAAATATTTTTAGCTTCGATCCGTGGCCCTCGTCATATTACCAAAGGCCCAGTGCATGCCGCAACATCTTCGTCGTGTCTGTAACGAATTTCCCTCCCTCGTGCGCTGGCTCGCTGGACCGCCGTCCCTGGCATGTGTTTCCCGGAGAACGTGGCCCTCGCCAAGACAACAGAGGATTTCAGCGAGTTGAGGCGCCTAGTCCGCTCTCTGTTCTCTGCTCGATGGCGAATGGAAGCAAACAGCTTGAGCTCCTCTCGCGCGCATCTGCCACAAGCACAAGCGCAAGAGGCGCCCTGTGTTCAATGAAGGCGCAACCTCCAACCAGTAGACGGGCCAGGCACATGCAGTTTCTCAACCTCCAGTGCTTTTTTCCCCAATGGTTTTCCTTCTCCGCCCTCTCTCCCGATGCCATTGGAAGTGGCCGGGCCATCCATGCCTTCTTGTCGGCGCCAACGAGCGCTACGCTGCATAAATGGATCGCGATTCCACGACTAATGTTTGCTAACCGCTGGACCGGCATAAGGCCAGCCCGCCTCTCAGCTGGCAACCTAGCTCCGGCCAAGTTCTGAAGTCAGCTTGACGCAATCACCTCATTTCTCGATAGTTTTCAAGTCTACTGCTATTCAGCATAAAATCATGCCACTTGATGCGGCTACCGTCGCGATGATCGTGCCGATCGCGCTGGCTGTGCTGTTTTTAGAGCCAGTCAACCGGTGATTGCTCCTCGTCGCGATGCTGCCTGAATCTACGATCAAATCTGATGCTCACCCACATCTACAGCTACCCCTCTATTGTGGATGTGATCAGGGCAAACAGACCAGATGCAGCATCAGGATTCATAAATATTCAGCTCTCATGAGCCAATTGACCTGTCATGGATGTCGGGCAGCTTCTAGAACCAGCCAATGGGCGGTAACCGTCGCCTTACATGCATTGGTTTGCTAGCCCGACCCTCAATGACGAACCTGAAACAGCATTGATTTTACCAGCCACAGATTTACTTGCTTCACCATCCAGGTTTCGATCTGGTCTTCCATCGGATCTCCTCCGATGAAGTTGGGTCTGTTGCGTTGTTCTTAGTTGCGGCTCTGTTGCGATTGAGTCTCAGACTGCTTGATCTCATGACGAGACATTCAACTCCCTGCAGCTCTTGTCTGCAAGACACTCATTTCTTGTAGCAAACATTCTACCATACTTCCACGCACGTACAACAGAGCCCTTCTGAACCCTTGTAGACCAGCCGGCTTAGCATCCAACGGAACAGTCATCATTGGATTCCCAGTCTTTACCCCAAGAGACGAGTTCGTTCCTAGGCAACCCGCGGGGATTTACGGAACATTCAAGTCTTCTTCCCGTCTTACACGGTAGGGTTACGACTTGCTTTTTCTAATCATCATGCCTAACGATACTCGTATTCAGCTAATACAGCTTAGCAGTAAAACAGCACCCACTTTCACAGTAATATGCAAGGAAATTTCTCATATCCTTCTCTCTAGCGTTTCAGGTACCATCTGAGAATACCACTCGACAATGTTGCACAAAGCCCATCACAATTCCAATGGTTTTCCTTTCGATGAACTCTCACCTCACCGCAAATGTGTAATCTCGCTAGATGAGCTCATCAGGCTTCTCTGACTCGCTGTTCACTACGTATGTTAGACCTGCTAAGTTAAGATCTTTGCTCCCTGCTGTTCTGCGGAGAACGGCCCCCCGGCTCCAATTCTGCGGAAGCAATGGCAGTGTCAAAAGACCGGACAGCCATCCCTGCTAGATTCAAGCTTGCAGCTCTTCATGGGCAAGCTGCGGTCATGAACTCCATTGTTCTGTCTTTTTTATCTCCGTCTCAAAGCGGGCATGTCTGACACACGTGAGGCAAGGCATTGACTTCCTTGCTGCTTTTGTCTTTTCCGATATTGATCCACTATCCAAGTGATGTACGATGGTGGCGTAAGCAACCAAGCAAGGAGGTAGCACGGCGCTGGGCAACAAGATTTGATGTGATTGCAAAGTAACACATGCGTCGTTTAGTGCGGTATCAAGAGACTTGCGGAAGACATCAATTGCGTACAGTTCCTCAGCAACGATACCATTGGCATACGAGTACTGCGAAAGGGAGGGCTCATGTGCTGTATCCTTCCTGCAAGGCGAAATTAAACGCATCAATGTGCGACAGCAGCAGCCCGGAATCAAGCACACCGAGATTTGCTGGTGAGATCCAAGTTGCACAGCCACTGCCAGCGCTTTACACGTATGCAAAGGTAATAAGAAAATTCTCCGGCCCTCCAAACCCGCGGCGCTTCCTTTACGATGCCACACACACACATCGACACACACCCAGCAGCAGCGCTACGTAACTATTTCGTAGTAGCGGCTCGAAGAAGGGCGCGAAAAACCAACCCGAGAAATTCGATATTGGGCTACGAAGATGCCTCCGATAGCCCATGATTGGATCGGGTAGTCCATCCCGAAATCTTGCTTTTTCTCCAGCGTCAATAACGCGTTGCCTTTTGCGCGCGAACACGCCCGTGGGATTTCGACAAGGATGTTCGGTTTAGGTTTGCGCAAGCCTATTGGCTGCTTCTACGGTATTAGCCTAGGTTTCGGAGCTGGATTTGGCACCTCGAAACAGAGCCAATGGTTCCTTGTCAGCTTAGAGTTCAACGTAGCAGTTTAGAGCCTTCCTTTGGCGGCATGGAAATTCGAAGGGCCTGGGGCTTCGGCGTTCCTTTTGAGAGTTATGCCCTAATTGGGCCGTTTGAAACGTTGGCATTTGAAGCGCCCCGAGCCGTGAGCGCCATGGCGAGATAGTTTGAACGGTGCTGCCGTCGCTGTTGACTTTGGGCGTCAATGTTATTGTTATTACTGTTCTGGGAGCTCAGTTTGACGGATTCAGATGATGGAAGGATAACTCAATTGTAAATGTCGTCTGGTTTGGGATTACACTTTCTCTGGAATTTTCTTCAATGGCAAGCGTCTTCATGACAGCTCTTTGCTGACATCATAAGCTCCATGTAGCTAGCTGAAGCTCTTGGAGATATTGGCTTACAGCGTAATATCGGCTTATCGGGGTCAACACTGGCTATCCACTCTGCCAGCTGCAAAAGTGAGCCCGCCGGACCGTTTCGGCCCGTCCACCCAAGCGTCACCAATCATGGCGGGGCACGCCACGGCCCAGAGAATTTCGAGATTGAAGCTCGTAGATGCGAACATCTCCAAAGCGGGCAAGCTATTCAGACGGTTAGCCAGAGC